ACATTCAAGTCAGAATCATGAACTCTGATCTAGAAGAACTGAGAAATGCAGAGAGACCTGACAGTTGTAGCATTAGTAAATATGACAAATTTTGTGACGAGAGGTACCGGTATGGCCAGCATAAGGGCAGAGCCAGACAATGTGATGTAGTCGTGGCCAGAATTCGGCTAGGATACAGACACACCTGGCAAGTTAGTAACGCTGTAGCCATACCGGAACACTCAGCATGTAAACTTTGTGATAAATCTTTAAAACATACACTTGAACACTATGTTATTGAATGTGACACTGTCAAAGACTTCAGGCCACCTGGCTTATTGTATCATGAACTTTGTAACTACATTGAATCGGGGGTGCTTGAGGACATTCTTGCTGTTTATCCCAAATTTACTAGCCCACACTGATTAGTCTTCAATTAGAATATGACGTCCAATGTATATGAACCAGTCTTGCATGGCAGCGAACAGTGACATCACCCACACGACTCTGACCTATATATACTGCTAATGAATATGATGCATTTCTTTGTGTACGAACCTCTGTCCTGCATGGCAGTGAACAGTGACATTACCCACATGAATCTGACCTCTATATATATATATAGCTATTAATGAATATGTTGTATTTCTTTGTGTATGAACCTCTGTCCTGCGTGGCAGTGAGAAGTGATACCACCCTCAGTGTCAAGACCTGACTGAATTACTCGCAATAGGCAAACTGTACTCCAAGCTTTGTCAATAAATTTTTTAAACTAAAAAACTCTCCCCCTCGCCTCCTCTCCCTCCTGCGATTATCTCCCCTTCCTCCCTCCCTCAGCCTTCCCTTCTCACCCTCCCTTTCTTGCTCTCTCCTCCCTCCCTCCCTCAACATAAACCTGTCCTCCCCACCCCCCAGACAGTCCTCTTCCTCTTCCCTCACCCCCCCCCCTCTGCTTTCCCTTCCTTTCATTCCTTCCCTCTCATCTCTTTCACTCTTCCACCTTCACCCCGACACACCTCCACCCCCCCTTACCCTCACCCTCCTTTACCCTTTACCCTTATCCTCTCTCCTTTACCGTTATCCTCCCTTATATTCCGGTATAGAAATTTGGGTTACCATAATATTAAAATCAATAGCTGACAGATGAACGATAATTAAAAAACACATTTAAGCTTTATTTTAATACGATTTACCTCCCATTACTCAACTTTCAACAATATGTAAATCTGTAAATGAATTATTGTTGTAAATAGAACGGTTTGGTGATTGTGTCATTGAACATTTATTAAGACTTTTTTATTTCCTAGTTAATGGTGTTTTTGCTGTTCAGTAAGTATCCTAGTATTGGTTCGGAAGAGACTGACTGGACTATTATCTTCTGGGAATAATACTAGTGATTCTTTTAATGGTAGATAATCATAGTAATAGTAATGATAAGTGCAATAGCAGTAATAATATAGTGAGTAATGTTTCCTTATACTAGTAATAATAAAAATACTGAAGCTGTAACCACATCTTGTCAGGAAACCAAATATTGACACCTACTGTTTACTCTGATCCAACGCTAATTTTACCTAGATGATCGTATATACTATATTTTGTGTTAAATATAATTCTAAATATCCGTAGTTTACAAGTCAAGCAAAGCCATGTTAGCTCGTACTTAATTTAGTAATGTTACGTTCATTTTTATCGCCGTTCCTGTTCACTATTCTTGTGGTCTGTGACTCGATATTTTATTATTTTATCATTTATCAATTTAATAGTTGTCTGGGTAATTATGTTACTTTGTTTTTACCTTTAGTGTCCAGTGTTAGTGTAAAGGGTATTACATGCCCACCTCTAGCAAAATCTGTCTGTACCCAAGTTTGTTTTAGTCTCGGGTGGAATGGACCGGAAAATGCTATGTGAAGTTCAGTTTACATTATTCTCATACTTGTACACTCATTCAGTATATTGTTCGTATACGATTAACATTTTGAAGTCAATATTTGTTTATATACGGGAATGGATCCCGCAATGAAATGGGCAGACAGACAGATTGACACACACACACACACACACACACACCAATAATATCTGTTTCGGAAGTATTACTAATATTCGCTCGGGTAAACGATATCATTATCAGCCTTGGCATTGACCATTACCTGATGCCCACAAAAACAAAAATAAAAAAGGAGAAACTAACTGGTATCCGTCCCGACTGGTCCTGCCGCAGTTGCCAGTTAGGGTGGTGGGGCTCGACTCCTTGTATACCAGAGGTGAAAGCGAGTGGTTGAACTGAACTAATCATTATTATCTTACTCAACCAAATTCTTAGTTAAATTTTAAGGAATTATTGAATACTTCGGTTTTATTAGGAATAATTATTAATAAATGCTTCCTAATTTATATTGATTTCTTAAGAATTTACTGAGCAGGTGTTGAGAATATTTTTTTAAAGAAAGTTTGGAAGACAATGCTTAAAAGTCTCGTGAATATTAATATTATCTTGCACTGGTTACCTATTATTGAGAAAATCTTATATTTATACGTACTCAATAGTGAATAATACCAATGTTAGTACACTAGTTTCACATACCTGTACTTTTAGAGAAACTTTACCTGGAAGTATTTCCGATTCTCACTCTTCTCGTTATAGGTAAACTTGCTCTCTTCCACGAGGCTAGGCTGGTGGTATCCGTGGCCCACCAACCTTCCCACATATTTTCAGTACAGTAAACCTCCATATAACGGACTTCTCTCCGTTAGATGGAAGTTTCACATCTAACAAACCTTCGATATAACGGATTTTCCTCTTCATATAGTCCGTTAAATAGAAATTTCTCTGTACGTTAATTTTGTACTCCTAAATCATCCTAATTCACCATATCTAGTAAAAGTAGATTTTTGTTTTAAATTTGATGCCTTTAGTGTGTTTTATTGCGAGACTACGATAGTGGTTAGCCTTAATAACTCAAAAGTGTGTAGGTGGTGAAGTGTGGCAGCCGGATCTCTTTCCCTTATATATCATCATTGTAATACTTCCTTCATCGTCTTGCGCTCATTGTCACGACACTTTCCGGTTATTAGAGTCAGTGAGGCAGAAATATGGATTAGTTAGGTTTATATATAACCAGGAAGGCGGTTCTTAGTATATCTATAATGGGCTATTTTATTTTGTGTTTGTTTGTCCTGGGTTTTATTTGCTTGTTAGTAGTGAAATTGGTTTACTGGATTATTATTTCCATAAATCTTCAACAAATACAATTATGTGTAATAAAATTTGTGTCTTAACCATCTTGTTACTTTTAAAACAATTAAGTTTATCCCGATAACCATCTTGATATCACTGCATTACACTTTCACAGCCGAACACATGTATTGAAGAACTGCCGTGTGAACTAGTAAAGGTAATCAAGAATTGGTTATTGACTTCGTTAAGTTTCATTTACAAAATAATAATAATAATAATATCAAGCATCAGTTAGTTCACATGTGCGCCTAATGTTCACCGATTAGCTTTACTTTACGTTGAGTTAGATTTCCTGGATCTCTTCATAAAAAAAATATATAGACCAAACCGGTAATCGTTCAACGCCCGAACAAGAATGTTGAGTTGGTAAATGTCAACCAGTGCTTTCATTGAACCCTTTCTCTTGACTTTTGTTTACAAGATATAATTTTGGCATCTGGTAGAAAAAAATCTGGAATCATATAAACATTTTAAAAGTTTTAATATATTAATGAGAACATTGTTTTTCATGCTGGCAGGAAGAACATTAATGAGAACTGACTATCATCCTGGTAGGGGGAACATAAAAGAACATTATCTATCAAGCTGGCAGGAAGAACATGAGAACATTATCTATCATACTGACAGGGGGCACATAAGCGAGATGGTGCAATTAACAGGAAATCCGTGAATGTTGACATAACTGAGTGATGCGTGGTTTAGCGTCATGGTGACTAGGCTATAGGCTACTCAGTGCAACTCAATGGCTGTCTGTAGCAAATTGTTCAGTCATTGTTTTTATACTAGACTATGCTGTAGCAGTTGTAGATTGAATTATACCCTTGTTGCTGAGCATTTATATAAAAACCAGTAATTCCCTGGAAGTATAATCATAATACAAGACGTTATCCACTTTTTGGAGCCTAACTGAGAAACACTTTTTTCTCTTACAAATATTTGGTTGGAGAAATGCGTAATTTAGCCCCAAGAGATGTTTTAAGTATTGTAATAGTGATGATATGTCAGCCACCTGATCTTAAACTTTCGACTTTTTTATATTTTTCGTGGAGATAAAACAATTTTGTGGATTATCATTACAAGAGCTTAAGTGATAGTTTGCCGCACATGGTAGTCAGGTATTGTACTGTGCGGTTTGTGTGGTGATGGTATGTAATGAGTACAGACACGGGTCAACAACCAAACTTAACCCAACCTTCACAGAAACCTAACCTTACTTTAATAGAACCTAACCTAACCCTAATACAACCTAACATAACCTAATAATCTAACCTAACCTAACTCAACAAAACTTAACTAAACCTAATCGAACCTAACTTAACCTAACCTAGTTAAACCAACCCTAACCAAAATATGTATCTATCAAGTGTGAATTGTCAACTTTTCCAGAATTTAACTCCACCTTAAATTTAGAGTAACAAATCTAGGCTTTGGATAATAGTTTTATGAATTTATGACCAAACCAACACTCTACTGGGTCAACATTCCCCAGACAAGGTCGTAAATTTATCTAGTCAGTGACTACCCATAGCTGCTGAGGTCATTCTAAATTGCGTTAATAAGTGAAGCCTCTATCGTCCGGACAAATTGGTGGGAAGGGTGTCCGAAATATAGAAAAGAATGAATGTCACATTTCATTGAGGCATAACACTGTATTACTGGTTGGACTTTGGCTCTTCAATTCTTGTTTCCCACCACCACACCCTTCTCAGACAAGACCCTAATGTCCACCATACCCGTCTTTATTTAGAAAATGGTCTACTGACACACATCTTCACCATTGCAGGCTGTACGTGCCTTCCAGCAGAAAACCAGGTCTGTTTCCAAGGGCTGGCGTAGGCAAAAAACCTGTCGCCAGCCACTACCTTATTTTAATACCACACCGCTTCTGTAAAGACTTCAAAACACACTACGAGATGAAGACTGTGCTGGGTGTGCTCGTGGTCCTAGCAGCTTGTATAGGTAAGCTGATCCTTAATCTCTGTTTCCAGTTTTCTGTAAGTTTCTTTTTATTTTGTTCTGTAAAAAGAAAAGCAAAAACGTAATGGGTGGTGAATCAAGTACTACACACACATATTTCAAGGTTATAACTACATTATTATAGTTATTATACTTAATTATATCACATCACCTTGTATATTAAGATGGGAAAGGCTCATTGTGTCTACATTTTACGTCATTTATTCATTATTTACCTGTTTATCGAGATTAATGGAATCACTTGCATTATTTGTACAGACAGAAACATAATTGTCCCCAGAGTTCATTAGTTCCAGGTTGTTATGCTAGAGTTAAATTAGTTTTGGTCTTGGGAGCATTGAACCTTTGGAAATATGCTAGAGAAACTGTGAAGATCATCAGGTTTTTGTGTAGAGAGATTCAGGGTGTTGTGTCTGCCCGTTACAAGACGTAGCCTCATGTTATTGCGCTTCTTAATGATTGGTTATTAAGTAGATGTAAATTGTATATAGCTGTAATGTTACTATATTTAGGTAATTCATTGATTTAGATTGATGCTGTTTCCTCGAACACTATTTCTTACATTGCCAATAAATATTAACTAATCCACTTTCCCCTACAACCTAACAATGATAATTCAGTTTGGGGGTTTAGGTTAGGTCAGATTTGGTTAGGTTAGGTAATTTAATTATTTCCGTCATGTTTAACCTCCCAACCTAGTTCCTATGCCACTCTGTACTCACAACCCAGCCTGTATACTCTAGTTCACCATAAAATACCAATATTAAAGAGTTTCCACCAAGCCTAAGAGCGCATTAATCATCCACATTAACAAACTTTCTCTTACAATTATAGTGGTGGAGAAATTGTAGGATATCCATAAATTATTTGACGTATTTTAAAACTTAATAATCTCCAGAACAATATTGATACACCATACTGATTTTATAATTCTTGACAAACAATTCATGTAATTTGTTTTTTGTCTTAGTAAACTTCCACCTGTGTATTGTGTTGTTTTGATAATATTCTTTGTGAGTTTATTATGTTTTAAAGTGGGTTAGGTAGCTTATTGACACACCCTGTACTGTTTAGAATTGAGTCTGGTTCATGTTGTGTTTTTCTCGAGTTATTGTCCCCACAAGGCGCGTTTGTTTGTCTATGTTCTGTAGTTAGATAAATTAAATAAGTAGAATATTCATTAATATATTTAGGGTCACCTGAAGACTAGCCCCTAACTTATTTCACCTTCACATTGGGACATCTTAATTCTGCCGGGGGTTAGGTTTGGTTGTTAGAGTTAGGTTAACGTATTAGATTAGGTTTGATTAAATTAGGCCAGCGTTATATTAGATTAGGTCACGTTTTAGGTTAGCGTTACGTTAGGTTAGAGTTAGATTAGGTTTTATTAAGTCAGGATTAGGTTAGATTAGTGTTAAGTTAGGTTAGACCGGTTTATCTTATCTCAAACTAGTTCTCTGGATAAAGAAATTGTTTTCCTCAACCGTACACGAGAGATCTTGGGACTGCCCCCGTGATTGAGATAGTACTGGTAAGGCGGACAGACTCGGGTGAAAGGTAGTTGTTGACGGGTTACAGCAGCTTGGATCCGGTTATTTTACCCATAGTGAGGAGGGCGCGCGTGTGTGTGTGTGTGTGTGTTCGACTGTTGGCAGATCATGTGAGGTAGTTTTATTGTGCATAGGTTTACAGTTTAATAGACTGTTAGGGGTACAGTCTAATATCATGTTGGGCTACAGTTTAAGATGTTGGGGTACGGATGGTGTAGTCAGCTGCTATACAGGTAATCCCATAAATATAATAATTTAAAGAATTTTTTCATACATTCTGAAAAAAACGTTATACCGTATATCATATTGGTGTGTGAATGATAAATGATGACTTGTTAATTGTAATGAAGATACAGTTTACCTTTCCTAAATGAGTAATTACATCATTTGACCAGTTACACATATTTTCACATACAGTGGGGAAAGGTTTAAGAATAATAGTCTAAATATTCATGTAAAAATCGTATTTGTAGTATGGAATAAGTTAAGGTATTTGGTAGGGTTTGTGGTGTGGCGGAAGGAGAAAATCCGAATCTAATCTATAATTTCTGTCTGGATAAAAAACCTATCACTAAAAATAATTAATAAATACTAACCCACTTGTTCAGTTGTCTTAGGTTTTAATACCGTGCTAGATTCTGCAAGGTTAGAGTAGGTCACATACAACATCTAAAAGTCAGGTAAATAATTTCACCAACAGAATGAGAAATTGACGTAGCGTAGGGTAACAAAAATCACAGTAACAATAAACTTCCTCGGAAAATATTGTTTGCTTCTTTCCAAACACAACAACAATAATATAAAACGCCAACACAGTTTTCTAAATTTATATTAACAGTAAGGTTACATCCCGTATGAAAATTATCACTAGTTTCTGTACACAAACAACCATGACTGGAGAAAGTTGTTCCATTATATGAAGTAAGGAAAAAATAAATGTTTCCTGTTAACAAGTTACTTTCAGCAGTTATCACAAGCCAATACAATCCGTGTCATTATAATACTAGCAGGGATGTATGTGCTGACTCAAGTAATGTTTGCAATTTTATTCAACACAATGTCAGAATATTACGTGTAAGTCCATGTATAATCGAGTGAAAGTTTCCCTTGCATTCCGTTAGCTGTTTGAGTGAAGCCTCCTTATCCACGTCTGGAAACTTAAAAGAAATATCACTAAAAATTACTAGCAATTAATAGATACGTGATAATCATATTTGTAGATAAAGTAGTTATGTAGCCATGGAAGATCACAAATGGTAAAAAAAAAATATATCGTGGGAAATTCGTTTCGGCTGTGACAAGGCGACCAACTTTGTACGTACTCAAAAAATGATCTTCACTTTCTGTAAATGATAACATGAGGCGATGAATGAACGATACACTTACAATAATTTAAAATAATATCCTGTCTGAGCAACATTATAACACTGATCAACTTGGTATCTGGAGGCAACCGTAACAGCATTACGTTTTTTGTCACAATAAAACAGGAAAACGCTGCATCATCCATTTATAAGTGTATTCAAGCTTATTTCTTCCTGACTTTTACTCTTAGGTGTTGAACTTACACAAATGCAGGAAATAGAAGCTGCAGTATCCATTTGTATACAGCGTATTTAATCAATATGTGTCCAGGTTTAAATCTTGCCGCCTTTTGTTGAACTTTACACAAATGGCAACTCAAAACCATTACAGTTGATGACGAATATCTTGACTTTTGAAATGTACCGTCAGTAGTCAATACCCACGGAGATAGTTGATTTTATTGTAGTTATTGTTGGTGAATGGTGTTGAAAAGTTAACGCAGAGGAGAGAGAGAGAGAGTGTGTGTGTCTTCAACTGTACATTGTTGCTTCTTGGAAGGTGACGAGTTGGAATTCTTTGAAGCTACTGAGGTGTAGTGAGGGGTGCAGCCGAGGCAGTCAAGCACTTCCCAAGTTACTACCGGAAATGATAGATAGATAGATAAGATATTCAGTAACATCGTCAGACAAGTTTACAATTGGGTCATTATTTTTGTTGAGGAACTGGTAACTAAACGATACCCCAATCACCTAAATTTTTATATTTGTGTGTATAGTAAATAATAATGTTTCCTAAGTCTCCAGTAATTTTATTTGAAGTGCTCACTATGCTGTTATCTCATGTAGTTAAGCACCTTTCACTAGTTCTTATTAATTATAGAAATTATAGGTTTTGAGTGGTAGCTTGACTTATTAATAGTAGAGGGACACAAGCTGCTGTTACAAGTATTATTACGCCACTGATGTTTAATGTTATTGTTTTTTTTTTAATTTGAATTTCCTAGATGATCACATGTTTTAGCTATCATTAAAAGGCTTCATGGTTAAAGAGCTGATTTATATTAAACCCGAGCGTAAGATATCTTATGATTAAACATTTATAAAGAGTGATCATTGACATTTAAACATTATATCTTTGTTTTATGATGTAGGAAATATATGAGACAGAATTAGGAAGGTTATACTGTACTTGAAAATAAATTGCCGTATCCTCTACCTGTTCAACCAAGTTTTACGACAGGCTAGTGGCTTTGGGTCATTATATCTTTACTAAGACTATATAGCCTCCTATATCACCTTTCTCGCTGTCTCTATGATCGTTGTAATGTCAGTCAACTGGTTTATTAGCGACCAGACCCGGTTTCTCTCCCCTATTTTACCGGATACGACCTAAATTGACCTTAATTATATCAACAGCGAAGTTATATTTTATACACAAGGACACGCCGCGTCAGATACAACAGTTAATATAAATGACTAGATCTTTCACAGCTTTTAAATAACTGTTGTGCCGTTTATAGTGTATTTCATTAGACGTTCTATGGTAAATAGCACATAGTGAAAGAGCTAGTAGAGAGCGCTACATTCCTACATGTTTTTTTTTTGGCTCTACCACTACCACATGTCAGATATAGGTCAACATCTGCCCCTAGCTGCCCTGGGGGAAACCTCGTTCTGTGTCTGATACAATCGACGTAAAAATTTTCACTTCTCGTTCATCCTGATACACAGATAGTTGAAGTGCAGTAATATCATAACACCAACAATAACAAGATGTTCCCTCGTATGTATTTGTTGATTTGTTGTACTGAAAGTTCTTGAGTCTTGAGTTTACAAACACTGAATATTTGGGAGTAATAACAACAATACCTTCCATAAAAAAAAATAATACGGACTCTTTTTTTTATAAGAGTGAGAAACGAGATGTTACTAGCCATAGAATATTAACGTGCATCGTGTGGACGAACTATTAGGCAGACAGGTTTCGTTACATAAATTTCCTGCACCACAACTGACCGCCTGTGTAGTCTATTATCGTGGCTGTGCTCATTCTGGGTTACGAGCTAGGAACTCTGTGCATCTTACTGTCAGAATTGTTATAACTACTGGACAAAATGCCTCATTACCTAACCTGGCCTAACCGAACTTAGCTTAGCCTAAGATAACGTAATCCCGCCTAACCTTGCCTGGTGTAACCTAGCATAACCTAACATAACCAGTTTGATCACAACAGTTTATATTATATACTTGATACACAAAGAAACAGGTTATTTCACGTATACAAATATCATCACTAGGACATGATAGTTAAATGTTTGTATGTTAATTTTAACTTTTTACCATATATCTAAACACAAAATCCCCGTAACCAAATATATTCTCGTTAAAGGAAAAATTTTACGCAAGAATCTTTGAGAAATTGGTCTATGGTTTTAAATCCTCGTTGTTTGGCTCCAGTTATAGTCATCTCCCCATTGTTTTCTTTAAGTTGTACAGATCTTTTTATAAATTGTTCTTTTTTTTTGCATGATGAACAGATTATACCACAATTGTTCAGGAGCTTCAGTGGTTGTACAGATTAACAGATTTATTCTACAATTATTCTGTAGTTGCATGGTGGCGGCCCTCAGTGTTGGACAATGGAGGATTACCATGGTTTTGAATATCCCATGACACATGTACAGTACACTCAATCAAAAAAGTATATTTGCGATTTTGTGAGACAATATAACACAACGGACGAAGAACTTGGACAACCCTACAGAGACAACAGGAGTCGTAGTGTTCATTGTGAAATTCATCGATCGCCTCCGTAAAGATACTTAATTTAATTGTGTGTACAGATCACTAGACACATCTTGTAGTTGCTTGGGTGTGAAGGTGTTACTAAGGGGTTCTCGCGCCATGGCAGGTTGTTGTGGCGCCATCTGTGTGGTGGACAACAAATACGGCTGGAGCATCGACTGTGGCATCAGGGACTCCTACCTGTTCAGGATCAAGGACTATGGCGGCATTAAGGCCAATTTTGACTTTGGTGAGTCCTACTTCACACACACTGTTTATATAACTGTATAGTGGAGTTTATCTGGTGTTGAGTTTATAACAAATTTCATCGATTTTTTTTTTTGGGGGGGTGTCTTATTTCACGCACTGTTTACATCAAAATGTCTAGTAGAAATTTACCTAGGGGTTGATCTTATAACAAATCATTGACTTTCACAATGTTTTAAACCATTTTCATTGACGATTCATTTTATGATAATTAATTTAGTGACGTCATATTGTCATAGCTTCCATTTTGATTATTTTTCACATCTTATGAAATTGTTTTTGGGTTGATTGTATTATATTTCACAAAGTCAAACTTCGACATCTTTAAATTTCTACAAGGATTTCATTTCTCTGGTATTGGGTATAAATTTAACTACGATTTTACAAACATTATTGGTAAATCCTGGACATCACTAGAATCTCCACCCAAGTTTATTTCGCCAACCGGCCTATTGCAGACTCGTGTTCTTATGTTAACCTATCCTGACTTACTCTAACCAAACCTATCCTCATCCCCATAAATAGCATTAGGGTGGTTAATCTTCAGGTGAAGTATGGAAATAAACTGGGGTGGTGACTCTTCAGGTGATCACATCTTGTATATAACACAAAAATATACTAATAAATATCTTTTCTCTGGCCACTGTTACGAAAGATGAGGTTGTTTGTTTACACTAATCTCCTAACACTAAAGTTGTGAGGTCATCTTCTATAACCAACTTGTTACAGTAATAATAACATAAGTTTGTACAGTTTCTTATAAAGGAAGTTATATGTTAATTATTATCTTCAGATATGGTGTTTGTAATGTATAGAATATATTTTAAAAGACAATTTGTATGTTCGTAATGCCCAAAGAGTGGATATAACACTCATCTCTTATGCTAAGTGTTCGTTGGTTCTATCTCAGGGTACCGCAAGTCGGCCCAGCTGTAAATGGGTACTTGACATTGAGAGTTGGGGGAGTGAAAGTGTGTGAGTAGTGTTGGTCACGCTGTCGTCACCTAGTGTATCAGAGGTTGAACTTCAGGTCATCTGTGAAGGCCGCCGCAAACCCCCCCCCCCCTACCGTGACCTTGACCCCCCCACACCCCCTTGTGACCCCTGGGACGTCTATATTTTGGAAGCAGATTTTAAGGTTCTTGTGATTGGTACTGCAGAAAAGGGGGTCGGAGGGTGTTTCTGGGTGTTGTGGTTTCAGGGTGGTGGTGGTAGTGTTAGGGTGTTGGTGTGGTGGCTCAAGGCCGCAGTAGACCTGCAGTACTGGTTGGATGAGGGATTTTTTATAATCATTATTCCACAACCGTAACACACCCACAACACTCACACATCCACAACCCCCCACAACCCCCCCACATATAAGTAACGACATTATTCTTGCAGGGATCGGGTTTGGGGATGAGGACGGCTTCCCACAGTCCATCCGCAACACTGCTGGTGGCCACTACCGCAAGAACGTGAGTACTGTGTGTGTGTGTGAGGGAGACAGTGGGGTAATGTTTTCCTCTTTAGTCGCTATTGTAGAGAGGGAAAGAGAGATAAGGTAGAGAGAGATGAAGATGTGGAGATATGGAGATGGATCAGGGAGAGAGGTAAGAATATGGTAGCGAGAGAGACGTACAAAAAGAATTAAATGCTAGAGATGGTCAGTCCCTATAAGAGATGTACTGTACTAACACCCTCCCTCCCTCCCCCACAGGATAACACAGCCCGCAGCAGCTCACAGAACGGAACCTCGGCCATAAGATCAGACGACCACCAGACTCCGGGAGCAGCAGCAGAAAGGAGACAAGATTCCAACGCCTCTAGACCACCTCCAAGACGCTGGGCTAGGTACTGTGTGGCCTCGCTGATGAAAATTATGATTCCTAGGTTCATTTTTTTTAATTAAGTTTGGTTAAGTTCTCAAAATTTAAGGTTTCCCTTGTAGGTTTTGGTCTAGTTTCTCTCAGGTAAACTTGTGTGTTGAGGCTCTAATGGTTGATGGACTCCTTAGATAAATTTATCATTGTTAAAGAAGACCCGGGGACAGTTTCCATCATGGGGTAGGTTAGGCATTTTGTCTTAAGATTATTTAAATATTCTTATATGATTGATGTGGTTGTGTTCATACAATACCTGTACTTTCCTGTGACTTGATTCTTTTGTTTACGTTTTACAGACCTGGGCCAGCCTTTAGGTTACTGCCGCCTCCTCCTCCAGGCAACCGTCGTCAGGGTAATGCGAGACCTTACAGACGTCAGTGGTCACAAAACAGTCTCAGGCGACAGAATCGTCCGGGAGGGTTTCGACAGTCTCAGCGTAGACCTCCTCCCCGGGCCCCTCTCCGGGTTCCTGTACAAGGCCTTCATAGGGCTCCTCCTCCCGGCGCTAAGTTGTTCGCTGTGTCGGTCCCTTTCCGAAATTCTGGGCAGAGTCCTGTGTTTCTTCAGCCTGGCCAAGGACATGAACAGAATAAACCTAAACAGTTCTTCGTGGGTCATAATCAACAGGCGCCCCAGTTCCTCTCTCAAGACCCGCCACCATTCAGACCACCGCCCCCGTTCACGTCGTCTCATGCAGGCACTGTTGGCCCTATCCTGGGTGAGGTGCTTAAGGTATGTCCACAGCCTTAGTGTAATATCTGTAAATCCAAGAGCATGAAGGAATGAAGATTTCTTAGTTCATATTTAACGCTGTCATTAGGAAACCGATCATGCTTTTATACTGCATCCTGAAGGGTCCTTATTACCCCTTGGTAGTAACAGTGTAAGTTGACCTCTACTGACCATACCTGTTTAATTATGTTTGTTCTCAAGTTCTCTATCCTCACTTTACTAATTGGTCATTTAATCTCATTAATAGTAAGATTGACGTCCCAATTTAGATCATAAACCAGATTCCAATTTATGAGTTTGATTTAGTCTTTAGTGTCAGTCAGAAGTTGTTGATCCTCAGATGTACATTAAGAGATGAGAGAGTTGTACCGCCAAGTGTAAACATTGACTCGTGCGGCCGCCACCTATTGTCTGGTGTTGTGGTGAGGCTTTAGGACTGTAGGACATACTGCTTACCTGTCTTAGTGTTTCGGCTTATAACCATCCAATGTGTCTTGTGGTCTGTGTGTCCGTCTTCCAGCTGTAATTGACGAAATTCAACTCACACTTCTATAGCTCGAGCTTATGTCACTGTCTGTGTGATGTATTTTGATTGAAGACCTTCCCTAAGTAAACGTCCTGAATAACTTGGTGTCTCTACTGAACTGTCTGAAGATGTTCCACCACAGTGCTTCACTATGTATGCTGGCGTGATGTCACTTGTCTACTTTTTTATATTTTATTTACACTGTTATTAATTTGTCAGTACAGTAGTGAAATAGGGTCTTTTATTGATGTCCTAACACAACCCACGCTAATAGTTATCAATTGTCTTGTTTTCAAAGTTGTTAATCTCCGTTATATTACCATTGTGGTCTTGTATAGTCACTCAAAAAACTATATGTACTCGGGGTGATAGATGAATTTCAGAATGAACTCTGTGACTCCTGTTGTCTCGGTAGGGGTGTCAAAATCCTTCGTCCATTGTCATATTTTCTCAATACAATCGCTCCTTCTCTGTCTTCCTACTTCAATCTTTTCGATTGTAACATTTCTGTGGTTGTCAGTTTGTTTGTCTTTAACTCCCTATCTGACCTGTAATACTTTTATCCTTGTTGGAGGCTGTGTCACCAAGCTCTTGATTCTCTTCACGTTTTTCTCTACTGCCATCTATAGGGTGTTCCTCATTCGGTTTATATATTCTAAAAGACCATTAAATGCACAAGGACATCAGTCAACATCCACCTCGCCATCACTGTCACTTGGATAACATTGTCTCTCTCTCTCTGAACAGATTAACGCCGACACACCAGCAGACACAGATCACGTCCCTTCCTTCGCTGCCAAGACGTTTGTGGTGCGTGAAGCCCCTGCTGAGTTTCATCCCCCTGGTTACTCTCCTACACCCAGTCCTCCTCCAGCCAGTGACCACGTTGAGGTGCCCAGGACCAAGTTCTTCTGCGAGGAACAGAAGTATCTGCCTGGCATATACGCTGACGCACAACTGGGCTGCAAGGTGATCCACTTCTACCAATACACGTCCTCTTGTAGTACACTTCTGATATTGTAATGTTGCTATTAATATCTTGACTACCTGACGTTCCTGGGTTTGTTATGAGGAAGTAAAATTTATATTATTATAATTATTATTATTCTTTCTATTATCCCCATTATTGTTCATATTATTAATATATTCTTATTGTTACAGGTGTTCCACTTATGTCTTCCGGCTGCCATGGGTAACACACTTACCAGCTTCCTGTGCCCCAACATGACCCTGTTTGACCAGTCTATCTTGCAATGTAACTGGTGGTACTACGTTAACTGTGAGAACTCCCAGCACCACTATGACGCCAACCTTCCTATGGCTCTCAGTTACCGTAAAATCAACGCCGCTCAGTTACCACTCTCCGGCGTGGGTAACTTTGGTAGTGTGTCTCTGTTATCTCACAACGCCGGGGAATTCAAGAACCCACAGCCAGCCGAGACAGAAGGCAACACTAACATAGCGTTTAATAGGATAGGGAAGGCTGTCGATACTGTGGAGGAGGTTGGTCAGGGTGATGGCATTCCTAGAGAACCAAGGATGATGGATGGTGATGGTGGTGATGATGGCAGTGATAATGAGGAGGGTGTTGATAATAGTGAGAGTGGTGTTGATGCTGATAATGGTGAGAAAGATAAAATCATAAAGAAAACGAAGGAAGGAGAGAATGAAAGTGACAAAGTCATTAAACACACAAACACACCAAAGGTTAAAGGTGAAGAAAACATTGACCATCAGGTAAACAAAACAATAACCAACGTTAAAGAAGAAAACATTGATCAGCCTGAAGAAACGCACATAATCAACGATAATGACGAAACTGAGCCGAAAGAAGACAAACATACGAAGAAAATAACAGACCAAGATGATAAAGGAGATAGAGAAAGGGAAAGTAATAAAGAAAATACTGAAAAAACTCGTCGAAGAAGAACCATTGATCTGGGTAAGAGACTTGGTATTCCTCCGCTAATATCGAGACTTTACAACCAAGAGATAAACGTAGCCTAGTGTACAAGGGACATACGCGCCTGATTTAACTATACGCCACTATTAGTACAAGTTTTCCAACAACAGTTATATATTAAAAAAGAAAGTGGTAGCCAAAGCTATATAATTAAACCCGTGTACTGCCAGCCACGCCGGTATGTTTGATAAATAAACCTTACTGGTGGTTTAATGTATCGTTGTGTCTAGCCATGATGCTTGCTGTCTCGGGCCCGCTCTGGCTCAACACAACATGTATACTGTCACCTCCACATCTCCCCTTCCTTCCTTCTTTCTTCTTTCCTTCCATCATTCCATCCTTTTTAAGGTGTTCTTGCCTTTACCTTGACAATAATCAGAGGCCGTAAAGGTAAACGGAGATCTCTTAATGCATCCATACCTTAAATTGCTCAATGATAACGTGAAACATAGACCAAACGCTCAATAGTAGTTGGTTCATGACTGTTGTTGACCTTCTAGTCTGGTCAAGTGGCTGGCGTATTAGGAAAGGTTGCCATTTTGACTGTTGTTGCCATACATGTACTGAGTACTGCCAGGACTATACGGTGTAGGTACCAGTCATACACAAGTCGCCATGAAGTATTGTATACTTTGTTAACTGCTCTTGCCATCTCCCTCCAAAACGTAGAGTATATGTGTGTGAAGTTTAACAAAGCTAACATTAGTGAACATATTCCCGATGTATGCATTATTATTATTATTTATACTGTGAAGTAACCTGTGATACTGTGTCTGTTGGTGATACTGTGGTAGTGTTATTGTCTCACACACACACAGTGGTTACGATCACACACACAGTACAGTGTGTGTATTACATGAGATGATTGATTATTGTTAAATATGTGTTGTTACCTTAAGAAGAGGTGGGGCGGTCAAGTGTACAGTACTCGCCTCTCATCCTAAGGGTCGCTGGTTCGACCCCGGGGTACTCCCAGTCTACCCACCTATAAATAGGTGCCTAACTTTACGGTTGAGGAAATAAGGGTGGTCGAGTATAGTGGGGCCAAGCTGCCTCCGTGTGTACCAAAGGTTTAGTCTGCAGTGTGTTGGAGCCACACTGTTCTCACTATGGGACCCGCCTTCACATGTTACAGTAAGATGTTGAACACTGTTAAGCCTTTATCATTATTTTGTCCCTTTACCATACCTTAAATTCACCTTTTTTTATATTAACTCTCACTTCATATCTACAGAAAACTACTACACAGCTGTTGTTTATAATTAAATACCTGTATATATATATATAAACACTATGCTGTACCTGTACTGTATAGTATATTTTGTAATTGCTTTCTAAAGGTTTAGTTGTCACCATCACATAACATCAACACTGAGTCTTACAGTTATCACATCATACTAACACTAGTTTATGTAACTTATTTATTCAAATTTTTCTCTTGCCTTGTGTAGTTCCTCAATTTGGTGGGCCGTGATGTCATGTTACAGTAGACACACAAGAGATCGAGTCTACTGTACACTATTGTTATTATGGAAGGTGGCGCACGAGGAGGATTTTTCGATGACAATATTTTGAGAACCCTGTAGAAGGCCAATTGTTTCTCTGTGCCAATATACTGTAGGTTATAATGGCGCTTAGTTGCCAGTGGCTATGGGGGTTTTTTTTCACTCCTGAACGATGACAGTCCGTTTACCCAACGTGTGATACCGTACAAGCAGTGTTCGTCTCTGTCAGTGCTGTACGGAGCTGCACCGCCGCTCGACCGAACACATATAATTATGGTAATAATTTTGATCTGTAAACTAAGTAAAATATTATATCAGATTATTCTAGATTTTGTTTTTATGATATTTATGAGAAGTTTATTTTTATTTTATTTTTCAGTCCTGGATGTTGCATATGATGCTGTGTTGTGTGCATGCCCAGTGTATGAATTAAAAAAGATTTACATATACTGTACCCATGTATGTATGTATATATGTGTGTATAAGCATCATCAAAGTCCTTGTTCATTGTATCATTATGAATGTTTTATTACTGAAATTATTGATGGAGTGAATATTGTTACCAGGGTCTTGGAACAGATGAGGTTTTAGGACTTAGGTTAAATTTGACTCGAGAGAACATCTGATTGGTTGACAGACTGAAGCGGTAGCAGTACAATGATGGTGGCCAGAGTGATGTCGAAATTACACTGAAGCTCCGCCATAACCGAGTGTCTCTCTGACTTCCACTAACAAGGAGGACTTAACATAGGAACCTTGGATAGTTTTAACCCTAAACTGGGAATAAACGTAACTTGTGATAATCAATGTATCTTAACTAACCCTCTGGTGTGACAGTAACAGACACTGGACAGACACATTTGCACATGTTTCCAGTCAAATACTACTGAACTGAAAGGAAAATTATGACAGACCTCCCACTTATGGTCATGAGGGCTCTTGGGAGGTCACTTGACTCAGGTAGTTCAGCAACCCTCACCAGATGGCGCTGGCAGCCGTCTTTTAACAGGTGAGGTAACTTACAAACCATAAATTTTGTGCTCCCATTTTATGCATCGTGCTGAATTTATTGACCAATGTACATAAGTATAATTTATTTATTGTATATTATAGATATTTTTAATAAAGGTGATTATTTGAAACGTGGCCTTTGGGTTTTTATATACTCCAATCTGATCTTCGTGAGACCTAAGTGTGAAACTGTACCAGAAGTGTTAAGATAATCAGTCACACTGGTACATTAGAAGATCACCTGAGGAATCTCCACCCCAGCTTATTTCACCTAAAGATTAACCACCCCAAAGCTAACCTCACCCCCCCCCCAAATAGCGTTAGGGAGGTTAATCTTTAGGTGAAATAAGCTGGGGTGGAGATTCTTCAGGTGATCCAATGAAATACAGAGCATAAGAGATAAAGCTAAGAAACAAGATACCCAGAAACGTAACGCCTTATTGCCAGGGTTTAATGTAGATACTTAAATAGATAATTTTATCTAAAACCGCCATACACACCTTGCTAGAGGGAGAGAAAGAAGGAAACCTAAGTAATTAAATTAAGTTGAGAGAAAAAATGGAGAGAGCAAATTAGGAAAAGTAAATGATTGAAAGAAGTTGAGAAAAAAAGGACAGTAGGACAATGAGGGAAACTAAATATGAATGGAATTGAGAGAGAAAAGGCAGACAGAAATACAAGATAGAGCATTATCATAAGTTTTTTATATTCCTTATAATAATAATATAAATGTCTTCAACAACCTTGGTTAGGTTAAGTTTCGTTCAGGTACTAAGAATAATCAGTGTCATTTCTAATTAAAACTGGGATTCGAAGATCAGGTGAGAAGATATTTTTAGTTATTTTCAGTCAGGAGTATTATATAATGCTTTAAGAAGATCAAGGTCATATGATCGTTTCATATACCTTGAAGTCGTACATCTGGCAGCGGAGAACATTGTAAATACTCGCTGATTGGTGGAGACGAAGGTGTGTGTCGACCCTCCCCCCTCTCATTCCCATAACTTCCCTCCCTCACCCTTTCTCCCTCGTTCTACGTTACTTCCTCTTGCCCCTTTCTATCTCCTCTTCCCTTTTCTCTTCCTTTCAATCTTCTTCCCTCTTCCCCTTCCCATCCCCCCCCACCCCTGGAAAGACATACATTTTTATCTTATTTCACATCTCATCAAACTAAGAGACAAAGATCATTTAAAATTAGTCAAATATAAACAAAAATATAATATACTGTTAAACACAACATCCACCATAGCTCAAATATTATAAAAAATCATAATAAAATGACCTTGAACTTATATCTAATTTCTACAAGAATAACAACACCAAATATATAAAAATAATACTAAATAAAATCTATAAATCTATAGAGTGAAATTAAATACCAAATGACGATGTGTACATGAGGGTTTGAGAGAATTTAGTTATAATAATAAAGTTTCCTGATGAGTGTGAGGGAAGGTGTTGCTGCCGGGCTTCATCAGCTAAGGGGGACAGTCGTGATGGCGTTATTAAGAGGAATATTACGTTTATCTTCTCACACCAACCATGTCACTCGTATCGCTCAAGTTAATCAGGTAATTATCAATGAAGGGTTTGTGTTTTTTTATATATAGTTTGTATATATTGTGTTTAAGAGGGTTTATGTGTGGTGTAAGACCTCAGGTGGTGGGTTTGTCTTGACGGTGTTAGGTAAATATCTTAATTTTTATAGATATACTCTGACGTAAATTCAATATATGTTTATTTTTTAGTGTATTAGTTGTTGTTTATGTCTATGTTCCCAATAAGAGTCTAGGTGAATCTTAATTATATTTTTAACTTTTAGACGACCAATGGTTTCTTATATAGGAATATTTCGTAATTAATAAATAATTCATCTTTATCTAATCTAACTAATCTAGAGGATGTTTCTAGATCAAAAGAATAACTTCTTGATCTCTTTAGTACCCACAATGTCTTCTCCAGGAATTAATGATTGGTTTGGGTTTTGTGATTCCTGCCTGAGAATTTTGGGGCAGTACTGGACCACACTCATATGTTATCCAGGGACTCGAGGGGATTATTCTATTGAGGATAAAAGTTTATTTACCTCGTGAAATCCCCCATAAAATGACGAGGATTTGTAATTTGTGTGATATTTCTGCGATTATTGGAGATACGAGGAACCAACCTTGGTCTAACCTAACTTATCTCAAATAAATTTTATACAGTACTGGTAAAGTAGCAGTTGTTGATGATCTGTTCCTGTGTGTGAGACAAAGGTGACATTGGTAGGTGGTTGTAGGTTAGTGTTCAGGACGAGAAATATCATCGTAATAATATGAACATTGCGATTCGTCATTATTTTTTCGTACTGTGTGTTCTTGAGGTAACAAAGATCGCTTGGGTAATACTCTGGAACAGTGGTCCAGGTTAACCAGCAATTTTTTCTACAAAACATAATGTCTTTTACCTCAGCCATTTCCCAAAACAGGACTACAGTTTATTTTATTTAGTTTTTCTCTTGTTTGTTATAAATAAATATGTACGCTCCGTCCTCCTGGCGACGTTAAATTTATTTTTTGCATTTGTTGAACACTTCATAGTCAGCAACATATGAAAGTTTCCCAGTGACCGTTACATTATGTATGTGATTAATTGTAGACATTATTTTATAGATAATATGAACTAATGAGACCTACCTAACTTGCCTGTTCTGGGGTGGAAGTATTGTACCGTTAATATATTTTAGGTTCGATAAAAAGATTGCCATGAAGCGTTCAGTCACTTAATGTTGAGTTGGTCAGTGGGAAGCTTTGGTGAGCAGTTGAAGCATCACACATTATGTTCCCAGGAGAACAGAACACATTTCTCTATGAAAAGAACTAATAAAAAAAACTAAATTAGATAAATCACAATTCCCCCAGCTGCTTTGGGATAGTCTGGAGGTAAGAAACAAATTTGCTGTATACTCTGGACCTCTGTGCTAGAGTGTTACCAAACCCATTCTTCTTACTCTGTGATAGTGACCCGTCAGCCTCGGATAGTCCAAGCACACTGTAATGCTTGTTGAATTCTATCAAACAAACTTCCACTAATACTCCTGAAGACAAACTGTTACTGATAGAGACCAAGAGTAAGCCTAAGTAAAGGAGCCTCCTGGCAATAAGCAGCTGACAGTTATCCTTGGTCAAGTTGCCTTACTGTTACCTGCAGCACTGTCTCGGTACACTGTATACTCCCACGGCCTATGTGCACCGTATACCTACATTGTCTATATTTATGCTAAACTGTAAACCTGCATAGTTTATATACATGTTTATCCATTTGTAAACCTAACTCTGACAGCTGTACAACACTTATACTTCCATATCTACTGTATTTGTGTGAATTATATACATTATTGATGTCTGTATAATTATAGTAAGACCAGTGATGCCGGCCAACAGTAGAGTATTACAGTATCTTATCTTTCAGGGCAGTTTATACTTCTTGTCGACCAGCGTCCGCCATGATGCCCGGTTTTGTGAGTCGGCGCTGGAAGCTGTGAAGGATATCACTCCTGGATCCAAGTTGCTGGTTGGAGGTCAGATGTTTGCTGAGAGCTTTGTGTGCCTCAACTGTTGCACTTTATACTAATTAAATTTTTTAAGGGCATGTGAAAATTAGTTCTCACAGCTTATTTCAATTTAATATTAAATGCCCTAATGCTAGCCTACTCTAACCTAACCCTTCCAGGTAGTGTTAGGGAGTTTAATCATCAGGTGAAATAAACTGAGGTGGGGCTAAATTTCATGTGGTCCAAATTTTTTTATGTGACTGTAAACCAGATGAGATACTGTACTACTGTACTGTATATAGTAACTTGTGATGAAATGTTTAAGATATGACGGTAAAATTCATTAATGTACATATGCATTCATTTAAGTAAAGCATATTTTATGTTGATGTGATCATATTGTTGTGTTTTTGTGGTGTTAAGAATAAGAAATATGTTTATATAGATAAGTCTTATAAAAATAAACATTACTGTACTGATTGTATTGAAACAGAGGTGGAGTAGTGTAAGAGGGAGTGATGTTACACGTACCTCACCTCCTGCATCTCAACAACAGGCTTTGGTCTCTGTGGCATCCCGGAGAACCTCATCGGAGCTCTGCTGAAGACGAAGGTGGACAACCTGACGGTGGTGAGCAACAATGCCGGCGTCGACAACTTTGGTCTGGGTCTGTTGCTCAACCAGAAGCAGATCAAGCGCATGATCTCCTCGTACGTCGGGGAGAACGCCGAGTTTGAGAGGCAGTACCTGAGTGGGGAGCTGGAGGTGGAGTTGACCCCACAGGTGAGCTCTGAAACATGAGATACTGTATAGGACTTTGTGGTGCTTTTAGTGGACAGGATTGTGTCATAAGGTAATGGTACCATGACTTGGGTTGGTTAGAAATATATCATTGTTATTACAGTACATAAATTTTTGCCCATCATACTGGTAATAATATTGTGAACTAAGACACTCACTTTTTCGGTATAAGATGAGACTCGGTGAATGTGTTGCAGGGGACACTAGCTGAACGCTGTCGTGCTGGTGGTGCTGGTATACCTGCCTTCTACACCCCTACAGGCTATGGCACTCTTGTACATGAAGGAGGGTCACCGATCAAGTGAGTTGTATTCATTCCATCAGTCATCAGCTTGTTAGCCATTTAAGCAGTTGGTCTTGGTTACTGTGATCAAGTGGTGAAGATGTGATACCTGTCAGAAATTAAGATTGTTAGTTTCCTTTTGTAGCTGTTCATGACAATCACCTGTTATGTGCATACATTAGTCTCACCAAACTTGGGGGTGAAGTTCCTTGAAAAAAGCATATTGGATAAATGTAACTTTGGTAAACTTAAGACATTGTGGGAGAAATAGTGTTAGGGGAAGTGTGGCTCAAGGTATATGTGACTCAAGACTGTATGGTGTACAGTACTTGTGTCTTGAAATAGGAAGTGATTCATTTCTGTTCAGACTTCTTTCACAAGTCTTTCAACAACTCCCTGTAAGGTTCTAAGAGGTCCTCAACACCTCTCTTACACATGATAGTCCTCTTCATTAATGGTCATGTCTAGTCCAAGGTCCTTCCCATTTCACGCTGGTTTGGAGTCTTGAACATAACTTCTTGATTACTCTTAGGAATTGATGGAAGACCAAGGGATTAATTTTATGGCGTGAGGGAAGAGCTGAGTTACATTGTTTCCTTCCCCTGGTGAGGTGTTTGACCAGATTGTCACTGTTGCATTAAAACTCTTAAGTAAATTTTACATCCTCTTGTGTGTGTGTTGATGTGAGTATGCATCTATGTTTGTTTATTTACCATTAATAACTAGTGACAACATTGATCAATAACCAAAATGAAATCCTCACAAGCATTGACCATCAGTACGGCTCTACAGGTACGGTGAGGGCGGCGTGGTCAACATACAGAGCTCCGCCCGGGAGACTCGAGTCTTCAACGGCCGCAACTACATCATGGAGGAAGCCATCACGGGAGACTTTGCTCTCATCAAGGCGTGGAAAGCTGACAGAGCGGGTAACCTCATCTTCAGGTTTGTTGAAGAATTTGTTTGGTTGTTGTGGTGCTGTACTGTGGCAGGTTGTGGGTTGACTTATATACATATTCTCTGTCTGTTTGTCTGTCTGTATCTAGCCATCTGTCTATCTGACTTTCTGTCTGTCTAGCTGCTGATATCTGTTTGAATCTATCTATTTTATCTATATATCCATCCATCCACTTATTATCTTTCCTGCTATTCAAAAATTTTATTGGGTGGATCAAGGAAGGAGAAACTACAAGAAAACGAGGCATTGTTATGATGAAGTGGCACAAGATACATGTTTATAAGAGTCAAATTCAGGATTTTTAATAGATCTTCCTGACCCTTTATGTATCGAGGTCGCTCTGTTCTGAATAAAATCGTCCGACGTTAACCAAATAAAATATTAAAAGCGGCGTCAATGTTGTGAAGGGGGTGAATGGTGACTTGTATTATGGTGTGTGTTTTAGGTAACAAGCGAGGTTTTCCTATTACAGAAAGACGGCCCGCAACTTCAATCTGCCTATGTCTAAGGCGGCAAAGACGACAATAGTGGAGGTAGAGGAGATAGTCGAGATTGGCGAGATCCCTGAAGATTCGGTCCACATCCCAGCGATATATGTCAACTGTGTTGTCCTCGGGGAGAAGTATGAGAAGAGGATTGAGGTACTGTGTGTTGAGAGGAAGATCCCCATATTGTTGATAACTTGTCTTTATGCTGATGTTTTGGATCACCTGAAGAATCTCCACTCCAGCTTATTTCACCTCAAGATTAACCTAACTTAACATTATTTGGGGGGGGGGGGGATAGGTTAGATTAGGGTGGTTAATCTTTAGGTTAAGGTAGTGTTAGGATGGTTAATATTTAGGTAGAATAAGCTGCAGTGAAGATTCTTGAGGTAATCCAACATTTTAGATAATTGAAGTCTTTATAGGTACAGTATTGAGCTCTATTATACAGAGTGGGGCAAGAAACACACTTGAGTACTATATCTGTTACTTCTGGCTCACCCTGTATCATAACAGAAGTAAATGAGTATTACTGTATCTGGCCCAGTTAAATAATGTCAGATACAGTACAGTATTAAACATTATAAATTATTGTTCTTTCATCTCCCCCCCTCACCCCCCATAGCTCAGTAACTTACATAAAAGCAGTTATCTTTTCCCCATTATCTTACTTGTACTGTAGAGTCACCCACAGAAGCCCTGTCTCCTCTCCTCCTGAAACATGAACCCTGAGATTTAGACTTGTGAATCTGAAGCACTTATGGACAGATTAATGCCTCAGTGTCTATTGCTTTGGGTTTGTGAATCTGAATCGTAGGGTTTGTGGTTCAGGAGAAGAGGTGGCAGGAGTGTGCGAGTGTACGCGTGTGACACTAACTGATGTCTCTACATGTAGCGCCTGACTCTACGGAAAGAGAAGAAGAAGAGTGCAGCGGCCTCCAACCCAGCAGTGGCCATGAGGGAACGTATTGTAAGGAGAGCTGCCTTGGAGTTCCAGGATGGCATGTATGCTAACCTTGGTATTGGGATGCCTATGCTTGCTAGTAACTACATCCCTGATGGTAAGTCTCGGGCCTCAGCTTTATAATCTTTATATATAGGAAGGAAAACCTCACTCAAACATTAAGATTACTACACTATAATTCCCAATAAATACTCAAGAACTTTGATTTAATATGTTTCAGTTGGATATTACGGTAAGAGATGTGAAAGTTCAGGAGACACAATGTTGCTTATATACCTGTCTCAGTAATATTTAACATAATATACCCAACTGTTCACACTAATGAGATCTTTTTGATGATATTTGCACATGAATCGTATAAATTGTGTAACTGTAATAGTGTGTTGGTAGTGACCATCAGGTGTGTTACAGGGATGAACGTACAACTGCAGAGTGAGAATGGTGTGCTGGGTCTGGGGCCGTTCCCTGTACCCGGGAGTCAGGACCCCGACCTCATCAACGCAGGGAAGGAGACGGTCACAGTCATCCCTGGAGCATCTTTCTTCAGTTCTGATGAGAGTTTTGCCATGATCAGAGGGTGAGTGAGTGAGTGAGTGAGTGAGTCAAGGGTTGTAGTGTTCCTCTCTCTCTCACCTGATGTATCTTAGTAAATGACTGATTTAAGCACAGTTCAAACCAGCCTGTATTGACTGCCGCCTCTGGCATGGTACACCCATTGAGGGTATCAGGAAGCCGGTGGTCCATCAAGTGCCTAACCTTGCCTCATTGAAATATAAATAAACAACAAATAATATCTAACAAACTGAATAAATGAAGCAGCTTAATCTGTTTCTCACAACATAAATTATTTAGTGTCTCAAAGTGGCTTCTCGGTACGTAATTATTGTGACCATTGTCTTCTCCTTGCTGGCCGTGTGTGTAGCTGTGAGGAAGATGTTGCCAAAATAGGGATTTGTTTAGCATTTTACTCCCCATCTGAAAGGACCGCCATCTTCCTGACATCATTGATAGCTGTACTACGTCAGGCAGCCATCAAAATACTGTAGGCTAGTGTGAACTGGGCTTTAGATATATTGCAAACCATTTAATTGAAACCATACTAACTTGAGTATAAACTATGGTAGCTGTGAGACATGGTAGTCATCTGGAGACATCTTGAGTTATGAAAGTGTAGGGACAGTGTGGTGTTGTCTTCCAGGTGTTGGGTAGTGGGGTAGACTCTCCAGTATATTGTGATGGGAAGGAATACCTAGGAACATTTTTTATATATATATTTTATCTTAATTTTCTTCCTCAGTGGACATGTGAACCTGACCATCTTGGGAGCTATGGAGGTGTCCCAGTACGGTGATCTGGCTAATTGGATGATCCCAGTGAGTACAGTGTTAGAATATCCCATTATCCCAAGTTACGGTAATAATAGTACAGTATGATTATCGTGGCTAATTCTCTGTATATATGAACCAGCTTGTTGTAATGTTTTTTATATCAATGGATGGGATGTGTACAGACAAATTTAAGCAGATTTTTCATTTTAATTATCAGGATATATATTTTTAGTTATAGCGCCATGAGATAAACTACCTTAGCTATTGTCTTTTAGCTTAGGGCGGTGATAAGCTTTATGGGAGTATTACAGTATTCCTGATTCACCAGGGCAAGATGGTGAAGGGAATGGGAGGAGCCATGGACCTGGTGACGTCGCCCGGCACCAAGGTCGTGGTCACCATGGAACACTCGTCCAAGAAGGGAGACTACAAGATAGTTGAAGCCTGTTCCCTCCCTCTCACCGGCAAGAACTGTGTTGATATGATTATTACTGAAAAGGTTAGTTACTTGTCCTTTTTCATTATGTCTGTATTAGATTTCTTTGGTGCTCTTGTTGGCATTTCTCCAGTGTTTATGATGCTGTGTTATGTTCTGATGGTTCTCTTGTGATGGCAGATACAGATACAGTCACCAACAGAAGTCTTGTAGCCTCTGCTTGCTATTCCACGAACCTCGGGATTCAAACGCGTGAATACGAAGCATCAATGGAAGGAGTAATGAATCGGTCTCCTGCTTCGGGTTCACGAGTCTGAATCTCAGGGTTCGTGGAGCAACAAGAGAGGCATCTGGTTGACTGTACAGTACATGGGACTTTGGAGGATGTATAATTAAAGGTTGATTTGTTTGGTGATATAAATAAACGTACTTAGGAAATTTTTACTTGTTGCCTCACTAATAAGTTATTAGTCAGAAAAGAGAAGAACATATAGTACAGTAGAGGACATTCTTCTCTTATGTTTTTTAATGTGATGAATATTTCCTTGATATTGAAAGAAACTCCTATTTCTTTTCAGTGTGTCTTCACTGTGGACAAAGAAAATGGTCTGACGTTGACAGAGATTGCGGATGGTGTGAGCATCGAGGACATTGTGGCCAGCACCGGATGTTTGTTCAAGGTGGCTGAGGACATGAAACCAATGGGACAGATTGAGGTGCCGGAGGAGTAAGGAAAGTCTGCTGGAACTGTTGCCATTAATGTGAAGGTCGACCTCACTTACTTTACAAGTTTTACAGTCAGACTCAGAGGTCAGGTATTATGTTTTTCAAGTAGCATCTGACACCTTGACAGGGAGAAGATATTCTATTTGCATAAAAACTACACAAACTGTATATTACAAGCTCAATCATTTATCCAAGTTGTATGTACAATTCTTACAATGCCTTGCGGTGCACTGCAAAAGCTTTTCTATAAGGCATTTTTTTTACCTCTTGAACTATTCAGGTAAATAACCATTATTCTTGCATGTTTGCATTATGAAACCATACATAGAATTTAGATGAATATTTTAAATCTAATTTGCATACTAACTGTATTGCTGACAGTTCATGTTTTATACAATTTTGAAGTGTTCTGAATACTAGAATTACTCCCTTGAGTGTGTTAGTTATCAGCGTGTGTGTGTCGGTCACCAGCGTGGGTTTATAATACTGTAGTAACCTGTGGGTCAAGTTAGCATTTGTCTCCTTTAAGCTGAGGGTAAGAATAATGTTTTACTCAGGGTGAAATAACCAAAATCATACAGTACCACATTTTGCAACACATGCTTTTAGTGCAAAACAATTGTAGAAATTTTGTAGTGTTTGTGACTCACTCATTATGTAGAATATTTCATTACTAATTTCTAAATGACTTTCCCTGTTGTTCGTATATGGAGAAATGGGAATCCAATTTTGGCCATAGGGGACGTAACAAGTACTTAATGTTTCCTGCATATTGAGTACAGTATTTCCTTCATGTTATTCCTCTCACTGTCAGACGTTGTGAGTACGAAATATAGTTTATTTATGCAGATGATTACTTTAAAAATGCTTCATATACGAGTTTGTTAAAGAAGTCAAATTCTCCAACAAACTCTTATCATTCCTCTCTGACCTGGTATAGTAAGACTCTTAAGCTGTACAGATTACTATAGCAAATAAGTTACCAGAAGGAGGCATTACATTACATTTATTACGATACAATGTACTGATCTTTCCCTAAGTGTTAAATAGCTGGATAACTTTAATTACAATAGCTGGAAAAGATTAATGTCACAGAATTGAACCAAGAGTAAAGTCGTGAACACAGAATGAGGGTTTGTTTAGTGATGATGCATAAGAACATTAATTCCCTCAATGATCTGGTTGTAGGTGTATGTATGAGATAGTTTCCTTAATGATAAGTACAAATAAGAGCGATAACAAAAACAAACGTTGAAGTTATTAATGTAACTTTCGTTTAGGGTAGTGGTTGCCAAGTCTAGAGATCATGATTTTTTTTAGGATCAATATTGATGAATTTGCCGGGAATGACCCAATAACTTGCTGTAAATATAAGATGATAAATGACCATATTGCATTACTGTTTAAGAGGAAACAAGATGGGGATTATTATTCTTAAGTGCAAAGAGTTAATTGATTAGTTTGAATTAGTTGAATAATATGATGGTAGGGGATTATATCAGAATATTTTTATCTTTATTTTTTTATAATTGATGTATATTTATAATCTGACCCTTATGATGGATGCCTGATTATTCTCATCATTTTACCCAAGTCTTTTACTGAGTTTGTCCCAGGTGTGTTCATGTGTTCTGGTCGTGGATGTTTGGGGCAGGTAAGAGAGATCCTCCTCCTCCTCCTCCTCCTCCTCCTATCTTCCTGGGTCTATGATCAGTCTATTCACTGTCCGGCATCAAACTACTGGCATGGCAATAATGTACTGGGTTCCAATTTCTCATATGGTTATCCCTGAATATGTTAACGAGTGTAGGACTTAACATTGATATATAACAAACTGCATGGAGCGTTTGATGTGACATAGAGCAGTTAGAGGTGTGTATGGACCTATGTCAACTACCCTTAGTAACTTCAAATTGACATAATGTTATAATTAAGTTTAGTTGATAATTACATTGTGTAGGATGGAACCTTAGATTGATCTTGAGTGAAGTAGCAGCTATCACCAGTGTCAGTCAGAGCTGTGAGGTAATGTGGTCACTTCTCAGTTGCTGATGAGTGTGTTATGATTCATGGAAGGTTATCTAAGGCCTTATATAGTGAGTGTGGTCCAAAGAGTTGCAATGAGAGACCCGCTTTACTCCTGCTTGATATAGTGTCGTCTACACCAGCTTGATGTGACTCTCTTTACTGGTAGATATAAAGCAATATTTTAATACTGTATATGAAAATCTTGTAATAAAAACTGAAAACTTCTTTTTGGCCCTTCTTCCCTGTTTAATTTGATTGTACTAAAGTGTTACAATAACTCGAGTGACATTATGGCCAAGTTGGGGCTTTCTGTATGTATTGAGATGATATATACTGGCAGAGTTTAACATTCTCAAACTTGAATTTTAATCCCTCTATACTGGATAAAATCTCCTGACGTTAGCCAAATCAAAATATTAAAAGAGACATACCTGTAGTGAAGGGGTTAAAACAGTCATGATTCTTGCTGTCTCCTCTCTCTCCTTACTGTTTCTGATAGCACTTAAAACATCTCCTTTTAACATATTGAAACTTGTGGTATTATTATAAACATATTGAAGATGTGTTTGTGTTCCTATGTTGTCTTAAAAAGATGTCTTGGGTTTTTGACAATGGCCATGTGTTCATCTTGTAAGGATAGGTGTTGTCTGTAGTGATGTGTCTTGTAGAGGATGTTCAGTTAATGTCTCCTTCAACATTAATCTTGTTTATATTAAGTATTTATCTCTGTTGCCACTTGTCTCAGAATGGCATAGATTCACCTCAGACACTGTGAAATTGGGTCCCTGAAGTTTTTTTTTGTGCCTGTTGCCTGTGTATATACCACTACCCACTATTTACAAAGATGCAAAACAGACAAGAATTCACCGCACATGACTCAGCAACTGGGACAGCCTTGACACTCCTTCATTGTTGATAATGGAGAGCCATGACTCACCAGAGGAGAGAAACCTGTTACTGAGTTAATGAACGGTGTATTCTTGTCCATTGGAGACGTGTAAATATCTCCGTGAACATTAATTACAGCAGGCATGGGCAACCTGTGGCCCGGACCATGTGTTTGCGCAGCCTGTGGAGTGATAGAGAAATTCTATTTAATGTGGCCCGTGGTTCAGGTAGATGCAGCCACTTTATGGTGAGTAAAGCAATATTTATTAAAAGATTAATCTTCTCACACAATTTGTTATTGTTTCATCACCTAAGAGTAAGTAACTAGAAAAATGTAACAATGAAATAAATAAATATAGTCAACAATATACGGTAAACCTTTTAACTTGTGTGACATTACGGCCCAAGTTAGGCGCGGTCTGTTTGATGGATAAGCTGCTATGTGGCAGTGGGTCACTTGGGAATTAACTAAGGGTGGGTAAGTCCAAGTGGAGCCACGGGCAGTGGTCACTCAGGGTTTAACAAATTAAGTACTTCCAGTAATTAAAAATTTTCAAGCGTCATAGCAACCACTAATTACCCCGCAATCGAATCGTGCACCGTAGATTCGGAATCAGCGTGCTGAGGAGTACCTACACTGAGATATTTGTGTCTCATAAGTAAGACAAATGTTTTAACTGTAGGAAAAATCAACATATTCATAGACTGCTTCACTCATCTTCTGTTACTTTAAAAATTAATATGATGGATATGTTTCATGAATGGGAAAAAGGCGGTTTGTAAACTGTCCCTGCAAATATATTAACATTACCTTTGGGTTAAGTAGGATATAAATTTTGGTGGATAGGCCCACAGAAAATTTTTGGTGGGTAGGCCAGCAGAAAATTACCTAAATTGTAATGCAGCCCATGACTGAGGAAAGGTTGCCCATGCCTGGATTACAGGAATGCAATACTGGTTATATGGTTAAAAACCTATTTTATGGAGTCGACTATATATCATGTACCAAAACCTGTATTCGCGTAGCATTCTGTTAGCCATTTCTAAGTTGTCAGGAAATGCTACATTGACCGAATCACCAGGGAAAAATTTTGGGGTTTGTGACTCTCAGCCTCTTGTAAGTTCCCAGTGATGAGGTAGTACTTGGTTCCTGGGTTTAGAAATTATACTTAGGTTCAGATCAAGGAACATACACCACGCCTGAGGAGGTGTACCAGCCTGAGGTATTCCTATACTCCTGTAGCCACTTGTAGAGCTTCTCTTATTCCTTCTTCAGATATATTATACTGAAATTATTCTTCATGGGGTGATATAATGTGCTTAGAGTCCTTCATAGCTTAAGTTAACAAGGTAATTAGGTAGTTATTAGTGTTAGATAAGTATTTAATGATTTATCTGATATTTGGAGCAATAATTAAGTTTTGTATGTAAGTGTCCTATTCAAATTATACATTGCTTGGGTTCTTCCTGCTGCTAAATATTTAATCTTGTTACATGAAGGGAATATTACAGCAGAATACAGGAGCTACGGTAATGAATGGCAGGGAATAGTTGAGAGCGTGTGTGTGTGTATGGCCTTGGGTTTGGTCACCGTGCATGACAGTGGGAAAAACCTTGAGAAGATTGAAAAATACATAAATTATTATATTACCTTTACAACTACCCTCTCTATCACTGTTCACTACCACCACCATGTACAGCACTACCACAACTGCAATGACTACTACTGCAACTACAATTGCTACTACAGTACTATCACCTTGACTACAATTATCACGACTACCACCACCACCACAACCATAACTACTACCATCACGGGTTGAATTTTCCTCCTAAGATGAGACATAGGAAGTATCTAACTGGTTGATGTGTTGAACTGTGAGGCAAATAGACAGTGTCCGGGAATTAACTAAATCCACCCTAACCTAACCTAATTGAAAATATTAGATTGGGGGTGTTTTGTTACGACGGTTCAACAACTAATTAGGGTACTTTAAGTGCGTATCCAGGGAAAGAAATACATAAGTCATTAATAACTAAAAATAAAGATAAATATAGCATTATACTGTATATGTTTTTATATATATCATAAACGTTTTACTGTGCGGATGAGCTGGTCTAATGAGATGGTTCTTTCTCCATTAATCATTGTATAAACGGGATCAATATATTCAAAAAAGTTAATTTAAATATAAAGTAACAAAATTTATTACAAGTGTCAGTAACTAGACAGTGAAATAAGTTACTAGATATTTAGGAAGGTGAAAATAGGTGATGGTGGTGGGCGTGAAAACATAATCTCAGTTGACTTTGAATTTCTGGTGAAGACAATCTAAAAAAAACCCGGAATAACTTACAACACAATTCCTGATGATCACACTGGGTATTCTTGAGATAAAGAACAATATTTTCTTCTGTATTAAATATCTCTATAACCTAATTTAAATGCGGAAAAGAATAATTATTGATCACAAGGGAAGGGTCTTATGATGTCCAACAGGCAGCACTGACTATCCTGCCCTTCAGCTTGAGTCTTTAAGAGGTCGAGTGTAATTTATGCACATGTTTTGACAGCTATACTCTTATCTTTATTTATTTATCAATTATCATATCTTGGCTTGAGTGGACGAATGATTACTTGTAAATATTGGCTATAGTGAAGAAATTTAACATGTGAACCTTTTGAAAATGTGTAGGAGTTGATGGCGGCAGTGTTTCCCTCCCAGGTGATTATAATTTGTGTTGCTACTGATATCGTGAAGATTAGGAACCTCTCAGCCTGTTTCACCTTACTGTTAACCTAACTCAATGGTGGTAGTGTTTGGGTGTTAAATCATCAGGTGAAATAAGCTAAGGTTCCTAATGCCCATGATATTTAATAATATAATTACTAACACTACTATTACCACTACTTCTACTACTAGTATTATTACTATTTTATGGCCTACTAGTACAGGTTACAATGGTACAGTACTAACCAATTAATAATAATATTGACGTGATATTTTTTCCTCTTAATTTTCTTTTTAAAACAGTGATAATATCAGTTACACCATAGACCAGTTATAATGCTTTATACCCCATTATAACCAATTTAATTTCACTGAACATTTTAATATTCGGTGAAGAAACTGAATTTTAATCATGGGAAAATATTAGCGATGCGTAACATTATTTTTCAGTTTTCCATAAAGGAAATTTTTTATCACCACATTAAGTTTTAGAATTAGAAAAGATTATAGTATTATGAAGGGAATTTATTATCTAAAATTCATTAAGACTTTGAAGTAAATTAAAACTGAACTATCCCCTTGTCTGTCATTAAAATCTTTATCCATTGCATTACCAACTAACAAGACATTTTACTGTTGTGGCAAAGGTCAACTAACTGTCTTGTGGTAGTCATATCTTGGTAGTTAACCACAAGTCTTACAAAATGGTGAAGGAATGTCCACCTTTCCACTAATTACCGTCACATTTCCAGTATTATTTTTCATCTAGATAATTAATAAGCATTTCAGGTAATTACATAGTATGAATGTTAGTTAAAAGTGAAATTCTTGGGATGGAAGGTGTGAGGGATATTCTGTCATACCCTTTATAAAATTCTATATGATTAATTCTGTAGATAGGAGTTAACGCAGTGATTGGAAGACGTGAGGTAGTAGAGGGCGTGGCCAAGAATGTAATGATTCCCCCCCCCCCACACCCACCCTGGCCGCATGTCACGCCAGCCATGACAGTCCCGGATGTAAGCAGCCAACTTCCTACTCCACCTTCTCTACCACCTCCATTTGTCTCTCTCTCTCTCTCTTACCTGAAATATGACTCCGTTTATAATCTCTTCTTCAAATAAACTGTTAGGTCTCTTGGATCCCGGTCTGCAGGGCCCCGGCTTGGTGGCTTGTTATCTCGGGGAATTTATTATTTGTTGTGATACGTTTAGAGGTATGTGGTATAGAGTGTGTTGGGACAGTTACGTAACCTATCCTAGCCTATCCTAGCCTATCCTAGCACAGCTTAGCTTAGACAGGGATACCCGGACTTGAAGCCGAACAGAAATTAGAGCTAGTGGGATATTTTTGATACTCTTGGTGAATTTGTATCCAACAGGGAGACATGTGGTGGAATTTTGTCCGTTGTAATAAGGTGCCCGTGTACTTGTTACGTCCGTTGGGATTAATTTACGAGCAACAGGAGTTTAACCAGACAACGCAACACTCACGCTTTGTTGACCAGGTTGACTTAGTACATTATTATCTATAAGTTTGTGTGATAACAAGCTTTTAACGTCTTTAATTATTTATGGAGTTATTATTTATTGTTAATTGTAATGG